GTTACTGTGCTATGATCTCAGTTGAAGACAGCAGTCTCTCCCTCTCAGTGGGCCCGCTGTACTTGTTGCACATCTTGAGTAGTAGAATTTTTCAAAAAGCCTGTTTGGAAAACAAAAGTCTAAAAAGTCCTTTTATATGCCAATTGGTACTTAATTATATTTACCTCTATTTAAAAAAGTTTTTATTTACAGCAAATCATTCAGTATTCCTTGGGATTTCTTTTAAATGAGATTCTAAGGTCAATAGATGATGCCGTCAGTGTTTTATTTCCAAATAATGACCGTCTTGGCACCTTGCTGACATGACCCTTGTGTGTGTCCCACACTTACAACTTTAGAGGGAAGAACTGTTAACAGGCCAAGCAGGGCAAACTGAACACTGTCCTCTGCTTCTCTTTAATAAAACCTTTACAGTTTTCTATTCTTTTTATCACGTATGAAAAATTCAATGTTATCAACTTTTTCAAATCCTGCTAGAAGTGTTCTTACAAATATCACACGAAATTGCCTTACATTTATATATTACATTGGAAACAAGCAGGACATTTACAAGGCTGAGCATTTGTATCCAGAAGCGTGGAATGTTCTTCACGTTTCCTGTACTTGGGACACGGCTTATATCTCTCTCTATGCTTCTTGCTGACATGAAGTCTGCTGCATGTAACATTTTCTTACAGACCAGACTTGTAGACTGTCTTTCTACTCATTTCCATGCTCTGGCAGTTACCAGGAAGAGCTATTTTTGTTTTAAAAATCAATATCTACCTTTATTAATTACAATGCCTTTAAATTGAATATCAAGATTTATCTAAATGAAAGTTGACATTCCATATACCTCCTGGGGATTTTTAATGCCTGCATACAGAAAGGGATTAACTTTATTGGTTAGTGTTCCCCGAACTCTGGCAAATCAAAGTGGCTTGAGTAGGAATTCTGGGATTGAATGGAACTCTGATGAAATGCTCATATCCACACGAATGTTAGATCAACTGAGATATTTCAATTGATTGAAAATTGCAGATGAGTTGTTCTAGTTCCTACGACGTCTGTATCTCTGCTGGCTTCTGTACAACCGTGATGTATGAAGGCAGGCACTGGCCGTGGACAAGGAGCATTTTCTACAGACTACATCTTCATTACAGGGGCATCTTTCACTAACATCACCCCACTGTTCCATCGTGAAGCTCTTCTCCTTCAACTCTCTTTTCTACAGCTAGTGTTGTTATCTCTAGCAACTGGGTCTGTCTCATATACTTAAGATAGTTCTTCTACCTTTAAACACATCAAGTAAAATACATCCTAGTCCTACAAATATAACAGATAGATATAAACATAATACATATATATGCATAAATAAACATGCATGCATTTCTACATACAGACTAGAAATATAGATAGCTTTCTAGGATGAAGATATATATATATATATCTGTCTTTCTCCCAACCATTCTGAAGACTGAACCCAAGGCCTTGACATACACAAGGCTAACTGTTGACCATGGAGTCATAACCCTCACACCTATCTTCATTTCCAAACCCCAAATCCATTTGCATTAAAATAAGCATGTAGTGAAGTTTTTTTTTTCTTTAATTGTTTAATTGGGGTTAGGGGTTAAATTTTCTTTATAAATGCTTACCTTACCCATACCAGTCCTTTCTCTTTTATGTTATATTTTTATTGCAGGTGTTTACAGACTCTTAGTTTTATAGAAATTTTATTTTCCTTTATAATTGAAATAAATCATGCTGGGGACTAGTAGAAAGAATACAAACAGAAGACAGAGAGCTTCTGAGCTGTCTCTAGCTCCTCAGTGAGGTTTCTAGTTGTCTTGCCACAAGAAACCACGCCATCTGGACTGAAAGCTCTTGGAGATTAGAGCTCAACATCTGAGAGTTGACTGGATAACACAGGTGATGTCTCTTATCATTCAGCCTTCAGGAGACACTGAGTTCTGTAAAACCTATGGGCAGTTCATTTCTCGTTAAGTAAATTAGGTGGCCACCTGAGATCTCATTCAATTTAAAGCTTATTCAAAAACAAAACATTTTAAGCTGCCTTATATGTATACCACATGCTTTATAACTAGATTCTATTGGATTACAGCAGGAATAGAAATAGTCACGAGGGATTTCTGCACCCTAACCCACCTGGAGGGTGTTCTCTCTGGCAAGCGCTACTCACGGCTCTCCTGTGTGCCTAACATCCTTGTAGGTTAGACTAGACACAGACTGAGCTCACTCGAGTTTTCCAGCGATCATGTTTGCAGGCTCTTCCTCACCGTGGACAGAATGGCTGACTTGTTCAATGACAAACTTGAGCCTCTCAGACTCCTCCCCATGCAGAGCCCTCATGTCAGGCCGCTTTTGCTAAGAGAAACCAACTCTATCTCCAACTTTTAGGGATTCTTCCCTGGTTTCTGGTTTACTTAGCCACAACTAGCTGACTAGAAGGAAAAAAGACTCAACACAGAAACCATTATCGACATTAAACCCCCTCTCCTCATTCAGAAGTGGGCTGTATTCACGGGGATGGCTGTGCTTCCTATTTCCCTCTTTGGGGCTTCACATCTCTTAAAGACACTAAGATAACTCAGAGGGGTATTTATTTATTTCCACTCATTCATTCAAGTTGGGGGGAACTTCACAGATCACATCCATGGACCTCTGCCACAGATGGCCAAATGTTGGAAATTTGGTGCTAGAGAACTAACAGGTTAATATGATTGACTAGGACAAAGGTGAACCATAAAGGTAAAATGGATGTAAAATTTCAGACAGTTTCCTTATTTCTAGCTCCAAAATACTTAACAGCAATGAAGTGGATTCCAAGGAAACACAAGGCCAGGCACACACATCAGCTCAAAACCACAGCAAAGAACGTGCTTTTCACCCACCCACTGGATGCTTTCAGAATCAGCTAGGGTCCCAAGTCTTTATGTTTGTAAAAGTTTTCATTTAAAAATTGCATTTACATGAGAACTGAGAGAGAGGGTGGGAGAGAGAGAAGGAGGGAGAGAGAGAAAGAGTGAGAGCAAGCAAGAGCAAGCGAGAACGCTTGTCCCAATGCAACGCTGTTGGTGGGTCTACACCATTTCCTCTGTTCTAGGAGAGAAGGTAGCACATGGTTTCTGCAGGCATAAGTGATGCTTAGAGGAAAATTAAATCACGGAATGATGGCGGGGCTGATTATTCTACTGCGCTTTAAAGGCAAGAGATTGCAGTCTTCGAGTCCAAAGTGGTTTCATATGGACTGCCGCAGCTGCGGTTTACTCTTGAAACTATAACCTGTCAAATTAGAAGCAGGCAAGGCCTCCGCTCTTAATGGTTCACTTTCTTTCTGCTTCTACTGTCTGCAGTTCTGTCTACAAGTCTATCGTCTTTTATTCAGTTCAACTATGTCATTTGGATGAGTACAATGTGGAAACTACTTGTCATCTTGGCAGGAGAAGATTCTAGTATGTTGCAGGCTTAAATAAACTCAATTGTGGGCTTGCTCTCTAGATAAGGCTGACTTCTGCTGTAAGTGAGTTTGCTGCTGTTTCATTACCTGGTTAACACTGTGCAATGTATGATAGTGGAAAGTAGTTCCGATGTGTGAGCTCTGGAGGGGTGTTAGCTTCCAGAGACCTGACTGACTATACCGAGTCAACACCCTTCCAGCTCTACTCTGCTGTTAGTAGGATTACAGAATGTTCCACTCTCATTCCCTCCCTTAACTATGGAATGGCCTTCAGGCAATTTACTAGTTTAGCTGAGATCTGTCCCAACTAAATTGAAAAGTCAGGTGTTTACATATAACTCTGGTAGAGTCCTCCTTTCCTGGCTTTCTCCATGCTTGTCTCATGATATGAAATATTAGAAACCAAGGCACAAACACTTTGCTCCCTAAGCAACGCATCATAAGTGAAACCATTCCCTACAAAATCACATCCTGTTGAGGCCATAATGACTTCAGAAATACGTGTTTATCATCTGCTTTAGAAAACTTAGCATATTTTTGGCCCACGGCAAAGCTGAAGTAAAACCATTTGTAGTTGCCTCAAAGTAAGCTAACCACACTTTCCTAGGTAATTGATACCTAAGAGGATACTGCCTTCAGATCACAGCCCAGGATCTAGGCATGCTAATTCTTTAAAGAAGGTTGTTAAATTTACAATGCATGGATGTCAACTGGGCTTCCTCCAGAACTCAACTGCAGTAATTCCCCTTTTAGCACGCATAGAGACTACAACAAAATAGGCATTTAGAAACTCCCTTGGAATTCTGGAATTACCTCTCTTGCCCAATTTAAAGAGAACGGGGAAACTGAGATTCCTTTTTGAATGTAAAAGCATAATAGTTGTAGTGAGAACTAAGAATACTACCATGTGTTTTGGAAGGCACTCAAATGAAATCAATCATTACTTTCATTTTTCCTGGAGTGTATTTAAAGAAGCAGTGATTTAAAGTATAGATAGCTAAGGTAAACAGAAGACATACAATTTTTATATTCATTGTGAAAACATGTGTAGGGAATGCAAATATGTCACTTGCTTTCTGTGACAGTGATGTAAAGCATGTAGCTTCCCTGGACACCACCTCAGCCAGTGAGGCCAACCGCAGCCGCCAACAGCAATCTGAAAGGCAGCTCTTCACTCCGTGTGCCAAGACAAAAGCACTAAGAATTACCTTTGCCCTGGAGGCAACTGGATAATTTGGAAAAAAGAAAAGTTAAGTAAATATTTAATCTAAAGTAGCCTGAATGGAATAAAACGCAATAGCAAATGTCAGATCCAGAGAAGGGAATCCTCGCCACTTCCAAAGAAGAAAATAGAGAATCAAAACTCAAGATGTTTCTCAAAGTTGAGTATGGAGGCTAAGCTTCCCTTCCCAGAGCTTGCTCCTGAGTGTGCTGTCCAGACAAAGCCGCTCATCTGGACAGTCAAGGGCAGTGGACCACAGCCTGAGATCAAGGCACTGTGCTGGGCAGTCTACTGCGTAAAACCAAGAGCGTGCCATACCTCCATTCGCTCCTGTTTAACATCGTCAAGTTCGTTGTCTTCAAACATTGCCAGAAGCTCCCCTGTCTGGTCGATAGAGTTGATCAAGTCCTGAGCGATCTTCTGTCTCTTGTTTGTACTGCTGCTGCCACTCAGTTTTTCTTCATGAGGATCAGAAAAAGAGAAAAAAACAAGGCCTGAGCATGGTCCGTTAGTGGCAGCCAGCATATGTAACAAACACTGCATGTGACATTCACTCACAATCATCTTTACAGAGAAAACTCTTGCCTCTAAAACAAGTCATACAGAAATCAATCACTTCCTAATATCACAAAATAAAAGATAGAATCAAATCACATTATTAATTACCATTGTAAGTTGAATTCTTTATGAAAGGAAGAGGAGCTCTCAGGTTTGACAAAGAATACTGTTCTGTAGTACTTACAAAAGAAATAAAACACAACCAGGAAAGAGGGTGTGCTAGGCAAACATAAGCAAAGAAGGCAGAATCCACAACTATTAATTTTAGAAAAGACAGTTCATGACCAAAACTGCTACATGAGACAGCGTGAAATATTATCTAATGAAAAAGGAAGACTAACAGGCATACTCTTTTTTTTTTTCCCCCGAGACAGGGTTTCTCTGTGTAACCACCTTGGCTGTCCCTGGATCTCGGTCTGCAGCCCAGGCTGGCCTTAAACTCACAGAGATCTGCCTGCCTCTGCCTCCCGAGTGCTGGGATTAAAGGTATACGCCACCACCGCCCGGTAGGCATAATCTTTTATAGAATCAAGATAACAACAACAACAAAAATACCACAAAAGGAAACCTATTCAAAATGTAATCAATGAAAGATACTTGAATGCATTTCTTTCAAAATTTGACAATTTATGTTAGGGTCCCCCAAAATACAAGTGCTTCAGCACCCATAGAAATGGGGAGTCTATTTTCTCAAGTGGTTTTTGTCCTGAAATAAAAATTTTAATGAACACATATACTCACAGCAAGGCTGGGGAGGCAGCCGTGCGAGGCCCTGTGTCCAATGCCCAACATCAAGGGGGAAAAAGGACAGAAATACACACACCCAACAACACTGCATGTACTGCTTCCTCCAACATCCTTCTTCCCTCCCTTCCTCTCTCCCTCCTCTTTATGTTAACCCGCCAATCTCCAACTCAAGACATAACTCATGATGGCCATCCTCACATGACCACCATACATTTCTCCGTGCTCACATATTCACAATATATTTCTGTACACATGTGTTCTCTTCATTCCCTTTAAAAACAGGCTCTTACAGCCTGTCTTTATGAAGAGGGGTTCTTTCATCCTCTCTTCTGTCCATGTGTCCTAGCTGAGGACAGAGAAAGATCTCTCCATCTTCGTGGATAAAGCCTGATTCTTCTGAAAGGCTCCATCTATATCCTATAGTATCTACTAACTGGCTTTCAATCCATCCTCTGTTGATGGGCAGACATTTGCACTGGGGAAATGCTGAAGAGGAATCTCATTCATAGGTGTGCTCTGTCCTCATGGCACAACTTTCTAAGAGTGGAAATGTTACAGACACTTCACATTTCATGAAAGCAATTCTGAAGCTGTTTTCTCCTACATTTCTTCTCAGAACTCCAGCAAACATCTGATGAATCTATTAAATACTGTAACGTTAACCCTATAATCAACAAGGGATTTCAGCATCTTCTCATGTCTGTCACTTAGCCTGACAAGCCTGTTTTCCATCTGTGTTCATCTGTGCTAACAAGGACTTTTTCCTTTGGTAAACTGGAGAGCATCTTTGGTACAGAGTGATCTAAAATCTTTATAATGTCTAAAATCTTTAAAATGTCATTCTTTTCAACCTTTGACTTCTCCCTACTTCCTCACAGAGTAAAGTTTCAATTTTCAAGTTTACTTTTCAGATTTACTATTTCCTTCATTTTGTTTTTTATCTTTATGCATCTAGAATTTATTTTGTATATAGTTAATACTATATCTTCACCTTTAGTGTCTTTAAAATATATGTACAGCACCATTTTTATGTTTTCCTGTTGTACTGAAATTTTGTCATAGCTCAAACATCATGTCTTAGATTTTGTTTTTAGACTTTCCAGCCTGTGCCAGCCTTCCATACACAAAGTCCTCAATGATACCACAGGAATCATATATACACTTACTCGTATTTCATACTTTCCCAAGACACATATGGGCATTTCTTGCTCCACAGGAAAGCTAGAATATTTTTGTATGACCCCAAGAAAATATTATTGCAATTAAACCTAAAGCAGTGTGAATTCATTAATTTTGGTTGGACTGATATATTTAATGTTCCAATTCCATTGTCCATGTTTGTAGTCACTCCTAATTTTATCCACTCCTCTAGTCAATGTTAATAGGCTGCTCCCCATGGTAATTCCAAGGGCTATTTTCCTGAGTCCTCCAGGTGACTGTGCAAAGCACTGTGATACTGATCACATCATTAGGCTGCTCATGTTGATCCCCAAATATTTAGTAATATGCTTCCTAAGTAGCTAAGATGGGGGTTATTATCCATGAACAATTAAAGATTAGTGAACTAAACCCTATTAGGTAGCTACTGTTATCTCAAGTGTAAACCTTTCTGGCCAGTTTCACTTTTTTTGTTTTTAAAGTATTCTGTGGACATAGGGAAGAAACAAAAATGACTGTTGATACTCCACTCGAAGGAAATACAATCTAAGCACACGTAATCTGGCACTTTGCTGGTTGACTATTTAGTGGCTACAGGTGTGTGACACTAAACAAGTGGTATTCGACCTTTCCAGTGCTGCAACTCTTTCATGCAGTTCCTCATATAGTGGCGACCCCAACCATACACTGATTTCAGTGATACTTCCTGACTGTAAGTTTGCTACTCTTATGGATTGTAATGTCAGTATCTGATGTGCCACCCTGTGAAAGGGAAGCTCTACCCCTATGTGGGTCATGACACACAGATTGAGAACTGCTGCACTCAACAGCATGCCTTCTATAATCTTCTTTTTCTTTGCAATGTTTTAATATCAAATTCTGAGTACAATGCTAACATTATCTCTTTTAGTTTTTTTTTTTTTTCACATTTTCATATACACTCATGCAACACTTATTGGATACTGTAGGGAGCCGCCATTCTAAGATGGCGCTGGCTTCCTGGTAGCCTAGCTGTAAACAACTCCATATTTGGCTATGATGCACGAGTATGGTAATTGGCCTTATGTCCTCAGCCTATCCCGTGGCTCCCCGTGTTCGCAGTCTGGCAGGACCCAATCATAGTACGGCACATTTGCCTGATTCCCTATATAAGCAGCTGCAGTTTAGTCCTCGGGGCCCCTCACCTCCCGCTCTCCCTTAATCAAGAGGCGCTCCAATAAAGTGTGTTCTGAGAAGGATCCTCGCATGGTGGTCGTTCTTCCTCGCTGGCCGAGGAGCGCGCCGCAGGATACCTCATTTTGTAATCTAAAAATTTACTTTTGTTGACATTTGTGATTTTTATTTCTTCCTTTCTTTAACATTACTTCATCCATGTTGAAAAACTTTCCATTTCTTCTTTGTTAATTTGAAATTTTAATATATTTTTCTGTTCTATTAATGTTTGTTTTTTCCCCTCTGTATTTATATTATTAAAAGTCCTGCTTTTCTTTCCTTTTTTGAGGTGTGTATTGCATGTGCACACGGTGCATTATGCACACATGTGCGCTGGTGTGACTCCCTGTATGTATGTGTACATGCCCAAAGCCATCAACTATCCTTCTCTACTATTCTCTGTGTGTTCCTTTGAGGTACGGTCTTATTCTAAGATAAAACTATTGGAGCCGGGGAAATGGCTCTGTAGGTAAGGTGCTAGCCACGTAGGCCTGAAGGCTTGGGTTTGGATCCCCGGAACCTACAGGCAAGCTGGAAGCAGCAGTGTAAACAAATGTAATCCCAGTGCTCAGTACAGCTCTGCCAGGAGATGGGAGGTTGAGACAGGAGACTCCAGAAACTCACAGATGAACCAGTCGAGCACATGCAACTGTGAACAAGCTGGGTTCACTGACAGGGAAAGAACTGATACCCAAGGGTGTCTTCTGACCTCCACACTTGTGCCATGGTGTAGTAGAATATTATTTTAAGGTGTGTTACTTCTGTTTATGTTGCATTTGTTTAACTCTGTGAAGCTGTGTTACTGTGCCTGTCTAAAACACCTGATGGTCTAATAAAGAACTGAATGGCTAATGGCGAGGCAGGAGAAAGGATGGGCAGGGCTGGTAGGCAGAGAGAATAAATAGGAGAAATCTGGGAGGAAAGGAAAAAGAAGTAGCTAGAGAGGGAGGATTCCATGGGCCAGCCACGCAGCTACACAGCAAGCCACAGAGTAAGAGAAAGATTTATAGAAGTAAGAGAACAGGAAAAGCCCAAAGACAAAAGGTAGACAGGATAATTTAAGTTAAGGAAAGCTGGCTAGAAATAAACCAAGCTAAGGCCAGGCGTTCATAATTAAGAATAAGAATCTGTGTGTGATTTATTTGGGAGCTGAGTGGTGGGCCCCTCAAAGGAGAAGAAACAAATGACAGCACCATGGCATGTAGGTGCCTGTACCACACACATACAAGACAAAACTATTGTTCTATTTATTAATATATTTACCAAGTTGTATGGAGCTGGGGGGACAAGTTAAGGGCACTGACATGGTAACATGAACTTTACAACTGAGCTACACTCCTAGCCAGTTTGAAAGCAAAATATAACTCAGAAAGTTACTGTAAAACGTCATAGGGGAGTCATTAAATGCTGCAGCTGGTGGTTAATACAGAGTAACAAATGAAGTTATCAGTGAGACTTAGGGAGTGAGAAAGAACTAAAATATTTTTCATTTGATTAATGATGGTTATACATACCAAATAAAGACGTCTGAAGCATTGTCAAATACAAGTACTGATTATCTGCTGTCTGCTATGAATATGTTAATAAATGTTTAGAATGATAAGTAATGCTTATCATGAAAAAAATAATTTTAGAAAAAAATCTTCATAATTATGTGCCTGCTAGTTTAAATCATGGCTTTTAACCTTTAATGAAGATAGAAGCAAATTTTAAGTCAATCTTTGTCTAAATTATGCAGCTCTAGCCAAGATATTAGTAATAAATCCATACATTATTTTTTCAGGGCAGAGGCTAGACACAGATCTTCTTCATACAGCAGCTAACTCTTGAGACAAAAGATACCAGTTGAAGCCAGAAGCTAATGAAGTCAATGCTGGAGGAAGATTCTAGAAGTGAAGTCCACACAAAAATCATAAAAGTTACTTAAAACATTATGAGATTTGTGTGTGTGTGCATGTGTGTGGGTGTGATTTTCCTTTTGATTGTATCTTGATTGTTTAGTCTAGGAGTAACCTTTGCAGAAGACAATGTCCTACTGCAACCGTAAGAGGTCTGATGGGCTGCTTTAGATGATTCCCTCAGGCAGCCCTGTTTCCAGCTCCAGCTAACCACTCCAGGCTGCCATCCCTCTGCTACTACCTGACAATCTGGGACATGTGGTCTTTGGGATGGGCTTCTACTTTATCCACATATGAGCATACCAGTGTTCAATTCCACTTTATTGCTCTAAATATTTCCTGCATTAATATTCATTCTATATTTATTTATGTCTTTATATGTTGGCAGATATTGGGCTGATTCTAGTTTTCTATTGCAAAATATGCTGCTTTTCCACGTTCATGTGAAATTTTTCGTGTGTGGACATTCTCTTCATTTAGCTTTACCATGTATTGAATGGCTAGTTCACTGTCTGTTAATCTTTGTGAGAAGCTTCTGGGATATTTCTGAAGTACCTGTACTGTTTTCCCCTCCTCCTAGTATCATAAGCTAAAGCTCTTCACAGCCTCAACAGTATTTGCCTTCTTCATCTGTCTGTCAGTCATAGACATCCTGCTAGGTGAGGAGGGGGAGGCTATTATTGCTGATTTGCATGTGCACTCTAGCTCAGGACACTGGCCATCTTTTCTGGCATCTATTAGCAATTCTGGCGTCTATTAGCAGATTTTTATTTCTGCTGCAAGATTTTCTCAGCTCTTTTGTCCATTTTTAAACTGATTTATTGTCTTTATTATGAAATTAAAGAGTTCCTTGCACATTTTGCTTACGGATTTCTTAGCAGAGATACGCATATAAGACTTTCTTGTTCTGTGTTTTCTTCTGCATATTCTTTGAAGCACTTTGAAGGCTTTAAACTCCATCAATTCTAATTCAATAGTGGTTTCCTTGGCTGCTATGCTTTCGGTGTCATGTATTCAAAATACTGTCCTCATACAGGCTGCCAACGTGAAAAACGTTCTATTTGACAGTCCAGAGATGGAAAAACATTCTATTTGACAGTTCCAGAGGTAAAAATGCCCGCCATCAAACCCAATGATCAAAGTTCAACCCCAGGACCCACGTGGTACAGGGAGAGAACCATTTCCTGCAAATTGAATTCTGACCTCTGCACACTCACCATGGAATACATACCCCCATACATAAAACAAAGAAATGAAGATAGAATGAAAATGAAAAAAGCATTTTGTAATCTGAGCTACTACAATGAGCTCTCAATGATCTCTACTTATGTTTTTTGTTCTTCTGTTTGTTTGGGGGGCATATTGCATCCTGAAGGGATCAAATGATTTCTTCTCTATGTAGATTTCTAGATGTCACAGAGGCCTTCATGTCTCTAGCGGAAGGAGCTGTTCCTTCCACATGGAACTGTCCTGCAGGCTATGTCGAGCATCACTGAACCTCTCTGCGAGTCTCACTTGTGCTCCTTGTTCTGATCCACTGACCAGCATGGACCCTGTTTGTATTGTGGTGGACTCACAACACAGTTTTGAAGTCAGCAAGCTTGAATCCTACAACTTTGCTGCTTGTTGAGATGGTTTTGACTGTTCTGGGTCATGTACAAATTAGAAAATGCATCTTTTCCTCTCTAGAATCTGACATTTCCACACAAATGCCAGAATCAGTCTGTTCATTTCATCAAAAGCTGGCGCGATCTATAGCTCCAGCTGAGGATGGCTATTGCCTTCACAATCCCAAGCATTCCAGCTGTGAACACTGGCTACTTTTGTGTTTCTTCTCAGCCTACTCTCTCTCTCAGTAGTGATCTCTAGTTTCTATGTAGAAATCTTGTAGGTCACTGGCACAATTTAGTCCAAATAGTTTATTCTTTGTGATGCTGTGATACATGGTATTGCTTTCTTTCTTTCTTTTTTTGATATTGCTTTCTTTATATGACTTTGGGCTGTTTGTCCTGAGTATAAGGAATGTGTACTCACTTGTTTTGTTTACATATTTATCTTGTATCCTGAAAATCCACGAATGTGTCCACCAATTGTAACAGTTTTTAGTGAGTTAAGACATTTTTCTTTATAAAGAGCATTCAGATGCATACATCACTTTACGTCTTCCTTTTAATCTGAGTGCTTTCTTTTATTTTTCTGCCTAAACATGATATTAAAACTTTTCTACAATACTGCACAGAAGAGGAACAAGTTCACAGTCTTGTTTTATTCTTGACGTTGGGGAGGAAAGATTCCAACCTTTCATGTAAGTCTGCTGATTCTCAGTTTCCTTGGTTAGTCTAAGCTGCTATAAAATACACTGAAGACTGGGAAGTTTAGACATTTACTTACCTGAGTTCTATAGGCCATGGCACTCTCTATACCTGGTGTCTACTGAAGGCCTCTTTTTAACAGACAGGATCTGAGTTGTGTGTGTCCCTTTTTAAAAGTACACTGACCCCATCCATAAGGGGTCACCTTCTATGATCTAACAACTTCCCAAAGGCCCCTAGCTACCCTCTCTTATGGCTTTCATGATTAGCTCTGACTTTACTAAACTGTGTATCAGTATAGATAAGTTTGAGTTTATCCTAATGGAGTTTGTTAGTTTGTTTAGATACTTGGACATGTGTTGAACAATTTTCATAAATCTGAAAAGTTTTCACTCACTACTTCTTGGAATTTTTTTTCATCTCTCTCTTTCTCCCTCTCTCCTTCTCCTTCCCTTCTGATATATATTATACTGATGTATTAGTATACTGTTTACTTCTCTTCTAATGTATTATATGCTGATGTTTTAGTGTACTGTGTACTCCTCTTGTGATATATTATACTGGTGTATTAGTGTACTGTGTACTCCTTCTCTTGTGACATATTCTACTGGTGTATTAGTGTACTGTGTACTTCTCTTGTGATATATTATACTGATGTATTAGTGTACTGTGTACTCCTTCTCTTGTGATATATTATATGCTGATGCACTTGATGGTGCCCTGCATTTCTTTGAAGAACTGTCCACTTCCTTCATTTTCCTGGTTCTTCAGATTACATCATCTTTAAGGTAAACTCATTGGTTTTTCTTCTGCCAATTCACAGCTTCTGATGTGCTAGCTTCTAACTTCCTTACTGTTCTTTGGTGATTAATTAATTTTGTGTGTGTGTGTGTGTGTATGCCAAAGCATTTTTTGTCAGAGGATTAACTGCCAGGAGTCTCTTCTCTGTCCACCATGTGGTTGAGCGTGGGTCATTAGACTTGGTGGCCAGTGCTGCCTCCTAAGCTAGCTCATCACTTACTGTCTTCACGTTGAAACTCCGTTATTATACATTTTAATCTCTTTCTTCTTACTGTATATTTTGTGAGGCATGGTTTTCATACTTTCCCATTCTTCTCTGAATATAATTTCCTTTATTTATTTGAACACACTATAATAGTTACTTTGATTTTTTTTTTTGCCTGCTTAACCCAACATCTGGATTACCAGAAGGCAATTTTTGTTATCTACTTTTCATGTTCTGTTTTTCAAATAGACGGTATGTGTCTTTACACACCTAGTGTTTTGTTGTTGTTGAAAATGGACGTTTCAGATGACATACCACAGTAACTCAGGCAACCATTTCTTCCTTTTGGTTGGCTCGTCCTTGACTGCTTCTTTGCTCAGTGACTTGGCTAGACTGGGCAGACCTTCTCTTTGGAGTGTGTTGCCTCTGACACCGCTCAGCCCCACAGTGCACACTTGTCTGTGCATCCTCTTCTCTCACCAGCTTTACAGTAGCCTTGGCTGTCACTTTTCAAGCTCCCAAGAAGCTTCAGGCTGGTCTGACTGAGTACCACACATGGCTACTAATTCCCAGTAAGTGCAAGCTGGCTCTTAATGCTTTGTTTGCAAAGATTTGTTTATTATTTTAAATGGTATTTAGGTTTCTGTGTGTGCATGTGTGTGTGTACTTGTGGATATGTGCATGTGGGTGCATGTGCCCTCAGAGGCCAGAGGCCCTGGATTCCCTGCATCTGGAGTTACAGGTGGTTGTGAGTTGCCTGACATGAGTGCTGGGAACCAAACTCAGATCCTCTGAAACAGCAGGAAGTGCTCTTTGCCCCGGAGCTACTGCTTTTGATAACACTGCAGGGAATGAACTCTCCACATTTTAGCATGTGAATGTGGATCCCTCTGTTTCACTGTGGCCACAAGAGTGCTGTCCTTAGCTCTTCCGCCTGTCTCCTCTGTTGAACATCAAGCTGGCCACTCTTTTGCTTGCTGCTGTACAGTGGATCTCCTAGCTTGAGTTTGTCTCTAGGACTGCCACTTAGAGAGCCTGGGTATGAACTTCCACATGCTCTGCTCCAAATAACTTCCTTAAGGAGAAGTTAAGCAGAGTTCTCTGTTCTTAAGGGCTGCCTCTCTCTGTGCTGAACCTTGGTAGCATACTAGACTTGTTGGAAAGCAGTGTACACCATGAAAAGAAGGGCCTGAGATACTTGAGCCCTATGAGGTTCCAGAAGAGAAAATCACAAGATTAAATCGCCAACAAGTACCAGGTTGTATTAAGGGAAAGAAAGACATGGGAAGAACTTCCTGACACATCCTCTGGGTGCCTGCACTGACACTTTGGGGTTACTGTTTTGTCTAGTCACCTTCCAGGAGGTCATCCTCGTCAAGGCCTTTGATGATCTTTGATTTGTAGTCTCGGATAAACATGTATTTCAGAAGTCTTCTAAGTTTTTTCTGTTGAAATATAAAGTAAGACGTTTATAACACATTTTCTTTACTGATAAAAGATTGGTTTAAGATTAAATTTAATAAACTAGTACCTGATGATATTGGGGAAAATAGAATTATCATTAGCTTAATAGTATAAGCAAAGAATGTAGCCCTTCAATAATAGCTAAGATGTGTTTATAAAGGCGTTTTCCACATGCATCCATCCAGACATTCCAGAATCACAAAATAATGCTTTTTTTGTATATTTTAGAAAACATCTTAAATTCCTTTTGATGATTTCAATAAATACCACATTGCCTTTGGTAAGCCAAGTGTCCTTATGCTTTGGAATTTTGTATATACTCTAGGACAAAAATTATGTAAAATAGATTTATAAACATCTAGAGTAGGAGTTTTTAACAACTCATTTTTATATTTAACTTTTGAGATAAGACCTTGTTGTGTAGCCCAGGCCGAACTTGAGCTTGTGATCTTCTTACTTCAGCCTGCCTAGTGCTGAATAACAGGAAGGCATCAGCGCTGGCCCGCTGGCCGGCCGGGGAATCTTCTCACAGGATAGCACAGCCAGCAGCTCTAAGCCTGGACTGGAGGAGACCCCAGCTGCCCGACTGGTTGGGTGTTAATGACGCCCTCTGGGCATCTAGAGGAGGAGGATGCAGTACTTCACTCTGACCATCTAATGATGACTTGCAGCTTGTTCTGGGCTAACCCTAGATGTATTTTCTCTGGTCATGATCTTCAGGGTTTGGATTCCTAACAGTGGAAAGTGCACTGTACATAGCTTTACATGAACATCACTCAACCTTTTCAATACCCCTGAGGTAGAAACAGATCTCTCTCTTTTTCCTGAGGGACCCTGAGGCAGACTACAGACTGATGACTGAGGCTGAGCAGGGCTTGAAGTAGAGGACAGCCTCTGAGTCTATTCTGTCATATACTAGTTCAAGAAAGCCTGCCTCACATGCCTGCTGCACAGGAGTCATGAGAGGCCAGGGGAGACTGTGTCCACAACAAGGAAAGCACAGCAGGTGATATAAACCACCGCTTGGCTACAAAATAGTCAACTAAAAAATACTACTAAAAAATAGTCACTTTGTATCCCACAAAGTCTTGTTTTTCTTTTTTCCCCCCTTTCTCTTTGCTTTCACTATACCCATTATTTTAGTTTTATTCTGTTTAGTACTTTTCCTATATAAGCTACTTTATATTCTTTTTGGAATACTTTAAATTATAAATAAAATTATTTGAGAAAGATGAGAAGACTAATAACTATTCTGTTATAAATGTGTTGCTGGTTGTTCAAAATAATCTGGTAAGAGTCCTGGATACCAGGAAAACACCATCAAGTGGCATACATTCCTGAAGTTTCTCTAGTAAAAAATGGCCACCTTCCTAACAAGGGGAAGGAGTGCCAATGTGGACTGTGTGCGCTTCTCTCCGTCTGTCAGTGAAGAGGAAATGCTGCTGGGAAGGGCTAAGCGGTGCTCTTCTTTCCCGGCTGCTCCCACAGGGAACCTGTGCTGAAGACCTTTTCCGCAGCAGCCTTCAGGAGTTCTGGTCCAGCACCACTGTGGGTGCTGACTGCTCCTCCTTAAGGACCCCCCCCCCCAGTACAAAACAAACCGGCAATTGCTACCATCTCTCCTCCTCACTGTCTCCATGGACACGCACCATAGTGACTACCCATCCTGTCAGGTTCCCCGCCTGTGGTCTGTGCTCTCTAAGGCCTCAGTCATAATCTTCTGTCAGAATCTTCCCTACACCAACCCTCTTTCCCCATCCAATCACCCAACCTATGAAATTCTCCGAGTCTTATGCTTCAAGCATATCGCACAGATTGCCTCAAGTAGACTCCAAGCTTTTTGAAATTGAATGCATTTCTTTTTCTTTACAAATTCTTTATATTAATAAACAGCTGGTTATTAACACTGGTAAAGGAGCATAGAATTTATTCAACTAGCTTCTTATGTAAAATTATAACATAAATAGACATACAAATATCAGCTTTAATGTCTTAATAGCCAGAGTTTGGAGTTTTTATTAAAAAATTGAAATGACATTAGTTTTTAAGCTACTTGCACTAATTTGCTTATTTTTATAAGTCAGTGCAGAGAATAAACTTTGTATTTCCAGTTAAAAACGATGCTGTGAAAGTCTGAACTCTATGAGTATTAAGGTACACACTGAGAGGAAAAAGAAATGTGCTACTCAGAGAGAGCCCATTCATAGGAACAGAGCTCGGCTGGGACCCAGGGGACTCGAGCTGGCAGTGAAACTTGTCTTTGCAAGTACAGGAGGAGGAGGAAGGGTGAACTGTGCCGCAGCCTTGTCACCAGAGATGTGCTCGTGTACAAAGCAAACGACCTCGGTAGGAAATGCATTTTGTTGTCTAACTCGGGAAAGCTCAACATCGCTGCCCAGGTTGTGATTCTCATCTGAAAGCTGTAACAAGTCCATCCTTAGTAAGTTCAGTTAAGCACACAATGGAATTGTTTTATAGTACCTTATCTTTTCTCATCAAGAACAGAAGATCTTCAGCAGAGATCACCCTAGCTCCTCGCAGCTGAGAGACTTCTGCAGCTTGCTGTAACTACAACAAAGGAAATGCAGGAAATTATCTTAGAAATATAAATTACACACAGCACAATCACAATGTCTCAAGACAGATAAATCTACTACAATAAAGACCCCAGGGAATAATTCAGCAATCACGTTATTGCTTTTTAAAGCAAAACTCCCTGTGCTTTAAGATAGCGAAAAACGCAATTAAATTAGCTTGTGAGTCCACCTGTAATAGATACAATAAACAGAAATCCTTGATCTCTTTCATGCAAAAGAAAAATCATATGCAGCTTCCAGAAATACATTAATACACCTGAAAATAATTTTATGAAATCTTATCCTTCCTCCCCATGTGTGCAACGGTCTCGCTCAGTATCACTAGTTGAATAAGTATATTATTAATCCGAGCTCCCATGCTGGTATGATGTGAAATAGCCCCATTCAGGACTTTCAAGATCAACAAAAACAGAAGCTGTTTCTAATATCCAAAGGAAAAAAAAGACTTTTCGCTTTGGCAAGTCTTCAGTGGCTAAAGGATTCAGTCCATAAATCATAATACTGGACGGCATTAATTTCTTTCCACACTAATTACACACACACACAAAAGTGAACTGTATCTGGGATGCACAGGGCAAAACACACCGCCTGAAAGCCAGAACCCCTGAATGTCCATCTGGGCTTTCAGAGCTGCAAAGCCGAGAGTTTTCAGGAATTCAGAAGCCCTAGAAACATAATCTTACTTGAAAATGACCTGGAAAATAAAAGAATGTGAAAAATGATAGTTCTAGTTTTTGGCAAAGGCAAACTCCGTTTCTTATTTTGATTAGTTGGAAGGAACATAAAATAGGTCCATCTGACAAAAATCAAGACGCTGGAGCACATGTGAGAAAAATGTGCCTGGAGATTCTTCCAAATTTGATCAAACCATGCTGATTGCACAAACCCGACTCCCCCCATCTTAAGTATTATAAACATATTTACATATGAAAGCTGCTCTCCCACCCCACCAGATGCCGTTCTTTGATGGAGTAAAGCAACAACACACACTCCTGAGAGCTTCTTGGTAAGTGTCACACTGCCATCTTCACTATTGGAAATTAAATGGTGCATTTGTGCCAAAGGACCTCTGTTTGAATGTTTAAACCATTCTGCTAACTAAATAAGCTTCAAACCTTCTCTGAATGAGCAGACTATAGAAAGGACTCTCAACTCCTCCTGTGTCGGCTTTCCCACTGGATTTCCTGGATACTGGTAGTTGGTATATAAACAGAATCCTATCTAAATATAGAAATTTAAATTTAACCGTGAACCATTTAAGAAGAAACCTTAGGAGGGGGTTGAAAAGATGATATATCTCCCCTGAAAGAAACTTAACAGTTTTGACCATGTGCACACTTTCTCCCTGAAAACTGTTAGAATGTCAGGGAAATGTTTACACATCAATTTTTCAAATTAAAATATTTCCACCACAGCCTTAGATGCATTCAGTCAGTGTGGAGAATATGAGATACATATCTGTTTTTCTGGACACATACAGAGAGAACCAGAAGACAGCAGATAAATACATTTTTATTTTCTTAGATGAAGAAGTGGTGTCTACTCAAAAACTCTATAGACCTTTATGCCATCAAATGAACAGGTGAAATATCTGTCTCTAAAAGGTTCCCCAGTAAATTAATGGTTTATCTATATCCATACACAATGCTCTCTATAATACTCTCAAAATGTCAGACTGCAAACACAATAACAAGAAATGTAATAAAATTACATCAGACAGAAGAGCTGAACATTTTGTACCATTTTTCAAAACTATTTGTTATAATAAGCCTATATATATATATATCACTTTAAAATATATATTTTAAAAAATATATATTTTTAAAGACATGGTTTCATTATGTAGCCTGGCTGGCTTGTTCTGTAGTCTAGCCGGGCTCTGAACTCAGAAGTCCTTTTGCTTCTGCCTCCTGAGTGCTGGGATTAAAGACTTGGGCCACTACCACACCCAGCTCACCAAGGGCTTTTCTAACTTTCCCCATCTAAAGGAACACTATCTACCCCCCCCCCCCACACACACACACTATGAGCATTCCCAATGCCTCTGGCTCTGTCCAGTTACTATGCTCTGGACCTGCCGAGGACTGATGTATTCTGGGCTCCAGAATTACCTCTCCTAAATGCTTACCTCTTCTCTAGAAAAGGAGGAGAGGAATTTAGTAACTAGTTGAAGTAACCCATATAAACACACATATTACCCATGGGCTTATGCTCCTAAAATTTCTATGTCTACTAGCACAAGTAAAACCCACTCTTTGTTAATAGTCTGAAGTACAAGTTGGCACCTTGGCACTTCAGATGCATGGGTGCACAGCTCATGATCACTGAGTTCACATGAACATGAGGGGACTCCTATCAGGAATGTTCCTAATGTTTCACCATGAAGGAAAGATAACTGTACACTCTTTCTAAATTTTTAAATGTATTTTTACTTTTAAATTTTGCATATAGGGGATTAGATATCATTGTGCATTTTGGAACAGGTTTCAGTGATTCTCTTCCCCATCTCTCTGCACTTGTAAGTTCCCATTTTAACTTCTCCACACCCAAGTCTCTTTCCTCTTTTATGTTCTATATTCCCTTGTGCCCACCCTCATCTTCCTCACCACCTACTTGTTTATTTACCTTCTCTTGGTCTCTTCTAGTATAAAAGCCAGGTGACCCAAACTCAACAGACAAAAGCAGCATGTTCTCTCTGATACAGTTACTGGCCAGCAGCGTGTACATGTATATATGAATAAACGGGTGTTAATGGGAATACAAGGTAATGTTTTATATGTATTTATTCATGTGGGATGTGTGTACGAGTGTGGGTACTCATGCAGAAGTCAGGAGACAACTGCAGGAGCTGGTTCCCTCCTTCCACCACATGTGCTCAGAGACCAAACGCAGTGTCAGTCTTGGGCACAAGGCCCTTCACATGCTGAGCCGTCTCACTGGCCCATGATCCTCTTCTCTTACCAAATAATCTGGACTTTTAGTTTGCACAAATAAATGGAAGTTAAATTTGTCTAGCAGTAATTACTATGAAATAAGACTACATTTTTCATTTTTACAACAAATATTTAATAGTATAAAATATGCTAGAAATTGTGCCATAGACCAATACTTTAAACCTAATGGCTAGTTTAATAATCAATTGACTTGGTAAAATTGGTACTCAGGAACTTAGTAAAATATTTTCAGAAAGACAATATAATTCGACCATGACAATAGTCCAGTCAAGGCGCTTCAATCTCTTCAGATTAGGACTTTTGTTCAACAAAGGGGTAGTTGTACTCGTTACAACTGTTGGAAAGTTGAGAAAATCCACCTAACATTAAAACTCACTATGTCTATATTTTAAATAGTTCAGAATACTTTATTGGGAGGCTGATCCTATTAAAGGGTACAATGTATCACACATGCCATCTCAAGTGTGTTATTTATTTGTTTAAGATAGGTTCTCTGTGCTTCACTGGCTGCTCCAGGATCCAACTATGTAGGCAAAGCTGATTTTGAACTTGATCCTCCTGCCTCAGTTTCCTGGGTTTGGGGATTACTGGTATATGCCACATCTTTCATCCTATACATAAACACTTCGACTTCTCACTATTGCCAGTGACACTAACATGGGGGGTTTCTCCCCCTGAGAAATCTTCAGCAGTGTCTGAGTGTGCTTCCCTGATCTGCCCAGCCCTGGGAACGTGCTTTCTACTCCAGTGTTTATCCAAAGTCAGGCCTTTGGGGATTTTTATTGACTAGCGTCTACATTTCAGTGTCTCCAAATGATTACGGGTCATGGATTTACCAGCTACAACCATCTTCCTAGTGGTATAGTTATTATATACTGGAACTGTGTCAGGTATACATATTAAATTCTAGTTAAAATTCTTCCTAAAAAGTTTATGACAGAAGAAGTCAAAGGCAGTCTAGGTTTCCTGCTGACTGGAGTGAGTCCCCATATCGCTTCCAACATTCAAAGCGTTTCTACTAGCCACCACTTCCAACTCTTGCTCTCGTTAGAAAGAAACTGAATCTACTGGGGTAAGTTTACAATGCTTTATTTTCAGTTTAACTAGTACAGATGGCCTTACTCTGAGGCTGACGATTTAGTGATCTCCGAGGCTCTGAATTAACCACCATCTTCTTCTCCTTCAGATGCTGCCCTTCTATTGAATGTAAAGCTGGTCCTCACTTAGGCAGATAATCAAATTTCTCTTTAGAACTGATTTTCTTGGTTGTCCTTGTCTCCCTTTCTTTTCCTGGTTTACTACTATCCTATGAACCTGCGAGGACCTCATGTGAGACCCGGGTGGCCCCGCATCCCCCAGCACTGCTAGGACCTCATGTAAGACTTTATTTTCACCTCTGCTCTCTCGACCTTCACCCCCTTATCTGGAGAGGACACATTCCTGAAAAGATTCACTTTTACTTTCTGAGCACAGACACAATAATGGCTGTCTTGAAATCCTTGTCTACTAAGTTCAGTGTCTATTATATTTAAGAGGACATCTTTATTGACTTTTCCCCTTGAGTATGAGTTATGCTTTTCTGGCATTTTATATTTTTCAGTAATCTGTGATTTTAGCAGATACTGAGATGGACAGGTTCTCAGGACTCTCGACTGTATGTTCCTTAAAAGAAGAGCGATCCTTTCATAAGCAGACAGTTAACTCAAACAAACACAAATCACAATGTTCATCTCTCTCTTGTGGTTAGGTATGGCTGAAAACTACCTGTTAAGTTTTTGAAGCAGGGTCCTTGGGAAATAAATGTTAAAGATGTGTGTGTCTGCAAGTGTGTTTAGAGAGAGCTGGCACGATGACTCCGTGCCCAGGAGCGCTTGCTGCCAAACGACACCGTGAGGTTGACTTCCAGGGCCCCACAGGAGGGAAGAAGAGAACTGACTTCAGCAAGTCACTCTCTGGCCTCCACACATGCACAACTCCCATCCTCCGGAAGAGCAGAGCTCTTAACTGCTAGACACCT